TATATATATATATATATACATGTGTGTGTGTGTGTGTGTGTGTGTGTGTGTGTGTGTGTGTGTGTGTGTGTGTGTGTGTGTGTTTTAAGGCATGGAAAATAATTGTTTTTACAATGTAGCCTTTAAACCTTTGGAAACACTTGATGTTCTTTAATATTGAAACAATTACGAATACATTTGTATTATTAGAGTTGCATATTGCATATCATATAAAGATTTTGCACGAATTCTATTGTGGAAAACAACAATCTGGTAACACTGTTCCTTATCTTAAAATGTATATATTGTTCTGAGCTATGCATGACCAACGTTATATGTGAGAAAAATATGTTTTTAATAAATGAACTTGATGTAATTAGATAACGTCGCTAGTTTACAGTACATGCTTTATCAACAAATCGTCTTTATTTACTTTTTACGTACCTTGTGGAAAACCGCAGTGAACCTTGGGATCGCAATGAACCTTGGGATAGCGAGCATAGACTGTAAACAATAGATCGCCACATACAATGACCCCAACTTCAATGAATAATTTAAAATGAAAAAGATCAGCCAAAAACATTTTTAAACTTAGTACTTGAAATGTAATATTTTTTAAGTAAAAAATAATAAATAATATGAATGAATCAAAGTTTTATTAGTAGTATAGTTTTATAGTTAACCTAAACTGGACAACCGAATATATTTTCACTCATTAAATATTAAGTTAATGATAAAATATTTATAAACACCAACTAATCTCCAATAAAAATACATTATGCAGCATTAACATACTATTTAATGTTGACAGTTGAACTCATCTGAGAACTCACCGTTGATGCAGTTTGACCAATAGCAGAGCGGCGTTAAACTCACCGTGAAGAGATGTCACGTGGACCGAAGTTTATTCATACAGTAGTTTCGACCCAGTTTACAGACGCTTTTCATGAACAAAATAAAAATTACATATTTTTAAAAGAAGAAAACTGCGATAATAGGCGTAAATCAGGTTTTAAAAAGTGCGTTGACATCTATTGGTAATTATACGAGCCTCCAGCGTCTCCCTATGACGCTTCAGGCTCAGGTACAGATTCTATAGGGAATCCCTGCACGTCTAAATGTGACGCTAAAGGGGTACCCTGTGCGTCAATAACTTACGCCGAGGGTTCCTGACCAAGCGTCAGTATATGACGAGTTGGGAGTGAGAAAGATAACCTGCTCCAGAGCAGGTTATCTTCAGAGAGTAAGTTGCTATGGCTACTTAACATACCCAGAAGTTACCTCCGATTTTGGAACCAAAGTTGAGGTTATCCACCTACTTACTCTCAAACTTACCCGTGTATGTCACATAACCTGCTTTCTGGAATAGCCCCCTGGTTGTTCCAGTTTTGTATTTATTTAGTTTATTTATTTACTTATTTATTTATGTATTAGTTTATTTTTTGTTTTACTAAACACAAAGGAATATATTTGGAAGAATTTCAATAGGCCTACCAACCTTGATTGAATGGTTCCTGAAATCTGTTTGGTAATGACATTCTTCCAAAAACCTTCCTTTGTGTTCAGCTGAACAAACCCAGCCGGCACACGACCGACCTTCAACGTTGAAATATGGTTGAAATAAGGTCAGATGTGTTTTGAACGTTGAAATAATGTTGATAGAACGTTTAATGTTGAATGGTTGAAAAACAGCCTGCATATGACAAGACTTCAACGTTGAAATGTGGTTGAAAATACGTCAGTTGTTGCTTTAATGTTGAAACAATGTTGAATGATAAATGGTTGAAAAAAGTTACAGAAATCCTTGTACAAATCAACGTTGACATTTTTTTATCATGATCTGTATGTTGAATTAACGTCATGGCTTCACCCAACATTCAACATGTTTGGTTACCATGGTATTGGAGGACTCCGCGCACGCGGCCACGCGCAGCGCTTCACTTCACTTAATTACGAACACCTGACCTGCAGTGCAGCAGAATTCAGAGGTAAGCGTGTTTTTAGATGCTTTAACGTTTTATTTACCCCCCGATTTTGTCAGTGTATCTTAAACGTGACTTTTGAGGTGTAGTGTTTCGAATTTTGAAGCATTTAAAACTTTCCAGTTTGTTTTTAGTCTTGTTTGCGCTCCGGTGACGCGCAGCTAACCTCGAGGTAATGTCACATGTTTAACGTTAGTCTAAATGAGCGTTTTTATGGCAAATTCAAAGCGATAAACTCCAAACGCAGTTTAAAGTTACTGAGCAACGTTATAAAACAATATCCATTTTATACGCTGTATTATTAGTGTTATTATTACAAAGTTAACTGCTGTCGTTTCACTGTTGTTGTTGTTTTTGCTTTTAGACATGTAACTTACTCCAGAGACGCACTAACTTGCACAGCATTGAATGGAAAAGGCTTTGTCCATGTAAGTTTACTTTACCTTTAACTATCTGTTAAATCTTCTTGGTGCTTTGGTTGGTGATATTCTCTTTCTAATCTGTTTGTTTATTGATTGTTAGGCTATGTTGTGATATTATATTGTTATATTGATATTATTATTGTGAAATCATGTTGTGATGTTATACTATGTGACAGTATTGGGGAACAAATATGTATTTAGTGAGAAATTAATGCTTAAATTACACTTTGTATAGTAGCAGATAAAAGGTGTAATGGGTTTTAACTTTGAGTTTTCTGGAAGGTCCAGTTGAGGGGCATCAAGAACATGCAGATGGCCTAAACCTGTGTCAGCCTGGAGTGACTGCAGTTCTGCTACTCCACGCCAAGGCTTTTGTATGGATGTCTGACTACTACTGTGTTCTCTAAAGGTATTACTGGAGCAAAACAACAGCACCTGTTACAGTGAAATTTGTATTCATCAAAATAGTGATACATGTGTAGCAGGTCCAGTACATGTGATGTCATTGAGAAGTTGTTTTATTAAATGTCATTAAAACAAATAAATAAACATGCTATTTAAATAAATCTAAATATTAAAAACTTGAGGATTAAGATGACAAATGAAATGCATCATCTGTCTTGCGAAAAGGGTCTACTTAAGAATTCTGGTGTTTTCCAACTGAAAGGGATAATTCACCCAAGAATGAAAATTTACTCACATTTTACTCCCCAAATGGTTTAAAACCATTATGAGTTTATTTTGTTGAACACAAAAGAGGCTATTCTGAAAAAAAACTAAAAACCTGTAAACATTGACCTCAATAGTAGAAAAAAATACTATAGAAGTCAATGGTTAAATAGATTTGCAGCTTTCTTCAAAATATCTTCTTTTGTGTTCAATGTGGTCAGTAAATGACGACAGAATACTAATTTTTAACTATCCCTTTTATTCTCTGTCCTACATGCAGACTTTTACAGAAGTGCTACTCCTTCTAGAGTTTTTCTCAACCATGTCTAAAAAGCTTTAAACAGCTTTTACAGTACATGTAATGGTTTACAACAACTTGTAATTATTAGATGTGTTGAATGTTTCATGATTCTTTACTGCAGCCTTTGTTAAAAAAAAAGCAAAAAAAAAGCAATTTTTTCGAGAATCTGAAATTTGAATTCTGGAAATGCTGGCACCGGTGGTGGCGAAGGGCTTCCTGACGACATCACACCTAATTCTTCACTTCTCTTAGTTAGGAATATTTAGATGGATGAGTCAAAATTATTGAGTGTGGCGATATTATAGGACAAATTTGGATTCAATAAAAATAAATATTTGAATTTCACTTTGTATAATAGCTGATACCAACTTAGTTGTAACCTCGTATTTCATTTATTGCAGGTTTTCTGGAAGCTCCATTTGAGGGCATCAAGGACATACTGATGGCCTAAACCAGTGTCAGCCTAGACAGACAGACATCTATTGCAGTTCTGCTAAACAAGACCAAACTCTCTGCTTTTGTATGGATGTCTGACTAGTACGGTGTTCTCTGAAGGTGTAACTGGAGCAAAACAACAGCACCCGTTACAGTGAAATTTGTGTTCATAAAAGATAGTGATATATCAGGTATAGTAACAGGTCCAGTACATTTGTCATAAAGGTTAAATCACAGTAAGTACTGTAAAAATAACTTGTTTGCCTTTGCCACAACAGGTCATGGTGTGTGCTTACTGCTCGTAGTAAACACACACGCTGATCTGATGCGGGAGAGATATGTGCAAACACATTTGTATTTACTGTTTTGTTTTGCCTCACTAAAGTGTTGTTGGAGCTTGGTATGTTCACAGTTGAAATCACTGAAGTCACATGGAACGTTTTGACAATGTGTTTTGTGCCTTATCTTGACAATGACCATCTTGGGACCATTGCTGTCTGTAGAGGATGAGGAGCATTTAATCTAAAATATTTTAGTTTGTGTTCTGAAGATTAACAGGTCTCTGGGATGACACAAGTAATTAATAACAGAACCTATATGAACACTTAATGTAATAGTGAAATAGTGGTCCTACATTCACAAATGTGAGCCATTATTATAAGACCCATGTGAACATGCAATTTTTATGATACTAATAATAATAATGGAATAACAAATTGCTTTTACTGTTGTGTTTGTGAGAGAGAATCAAACCATATATTCTACACATTTTCTTGATGATTTACTGAAATATTTGTCTACATGTTCCACTGTCACAGGTGCTCAGTTTTGCTGCAGTAATGCTAAACACAATAGATTTACTTTATACAAAAAAAATAAACTAAATATTTAGCATGCAGACCTGCAAAGTGAAGGAGTAATGTCAGGTTTAGATTATAGCATGAGTTTTCACTATTGTGAAAGTGAAGCCATTCATTTACAATGAATTGGAATAGTAAACCTCATTATTGATTTTG